ATATGCTTTAGATGATTTTAAAGTGGAAATTGTACTTTTTTGTGTGAAGAAAAAACATACACACATTATTGTTCCAAGCGTACTATTTGTATATATGTCTTAGTACATTCCTTGGTGGGAAGTCAGTCCTGGTTGATTTGGCAGAACTTGGTTACTGGTGGTAACAGCAAGTGCAGGCAGCGAAACACTCCTACAACAGCTCCTTTGTCAAAAACAACTACAACATAAGATCAATAGTGTATTTGCTGACAGAGCAGCCAACCAAACTATTGGCATTTTAATAACAAAGTCAGGCACAGCGGAGCACCGTGAAAGAAGCTACTATCTCACAAGCCTGTCCCCTGTATCTATCTATCAACTTACTGTGGCTGCTCCTCTTGTTCCATTACTAACTGCAATATAAAGTGATCCGCTGTGAAAAAATGCTGAAATAACAGTTGTCTTTTTTTGTAGGTGCATTTTACGAATTATAATGTTCACACACCCTGTCTCAGGTCAGTATTTCGGCAGTTAAAGTCTTTTAATGTGAACCTGCAGAAATAAATGTTTGGTTGGCATTAGTTGTAACTTAAAGGACCAGTGTTAATTGCATCAAGCAGTGTAGTTGCAGATTGCAGCTCCCTTGCTTCACCACCCCCTTCCAAGCATGAGGGATAAACTACGGTGGTTGTGAAATGTGCCAAATCTATAGCCAGTGTGTGGTTTTTCCTGTCCTGTAGAAACAAGGCGGTTCAACACGTAACACATAATGATTCTTTATTTTAGGGGATAATACACTAATGAAAACAACATAATATTACGGCATATATTCCAGTCTGACACCCAGTTCGTATTACTGCAAATATATATATATTGCAATACTTTCATAAGTGGGCCCCTTGGTGTTACCTCATTTGGCAAGAACAAGTGATTTAACAAACATTTATTTAAATGAAAATCTTTAAGATTATTACTTTACTCATCCTTTAATTAATTAATACAAATACTTACTGTTTTCACCCCCAATTCAGTTCATCGTGAACGGCAGACATTCTTGAGAACAGATGTCTTCCAGTTTTACAGACCACATGTTCCAGGAAGCCACGTACAGTACAATGTGATTTCAAAAAGTACTTCAGCACACATAGGGACCACAACACTGAGATCCAGGTGCTAAATACATTTGAATGTATGGCCAAACGAAGCAGTCAAGAAGATGAAGTTAGCAGGTTGGTGGTCTTCAAGTGAGAACATACTCCAGTGTCACATAATACACAGCCTGTCAGACGGGGTCATGACAAGCAGCAGTTTGGGAGAAAGAAAACAAGTGTGTGTGTACCGTGTGTGTGCATGTTTGTCTTTAACTGACAAGACATCTGACAACACTCTATGACCCGATTATACCAACATTACAGTGCACACACAAGCTGGTGACATGTCCTCATATCTCAATCTGTATTTGTGTCCATTTAAGTCACAATCAGCCCTGTGAATTCAATTTCCTCACTGTCGGTTAAAAAAAAATATCTAGAGTAATGTGTTTGTTTACCCTGTCTGTCCCCATTACCTTTACCTAATCCCTCAGGCCTTTGACTCCAACTTTATCAGTTACTGATCCTTGACCCTTCGTGTAATAAGCCTGGTGGAGTCTCTGAGTGTCCAAAGCTGTCAATCACAAAGAAAGACAAGTAGTCGAGGACTTCTTTTTGTTCATTTTTCAGTCGGTTGTTATGCTGCACTTAACTGTGTAAGGAAGAGCTGATGAAAGCAAAGTTAAAAGCTTGAATAACATTCAGGGAACTCCATCTGCATCTTACTTCGTAAATGAGAAGTTGACAGGCTAATAGAACAGCATGTAAGCAGAAACACAACAAGGGATCCAAACAGGCAGGAGCACGCTGTGGTTTTCCACTAGTAAACATTTATAACTTCCACTTTAAAGTCCCAGTGAGTAACATTTAAGAGGCTCTATTTGGCAGAAATGTACGATGGAGTGTAAGGGCCAGACTAAGAGAAATTTTTTTGTGGGGGAAATTACGAGAATAAAGTCATAATATTAAGAGAATAAAGTCATAATATTAGGTCTATGAGAATAAAGTTGTAACATTACGAGAATAAAGTCGTAATATTACGAGAATAATTTCTTAATATGACAAGAAAAAAGTCATAACATTAAGAGAATAAAGTCATAATATTACAAGAATAAAGTCATAATATTATGAGAAAAAGTCATAATATTGCTAGAATAAAGTCGTAATATTACAAGAAAAAATTCATAATATTGTGAGAATAAAGTTGTAATTTTAGGAGAACTCTTAAAAGAAAGAGCAGTTTTCCCCCTGCGTTAAAATGAGGAA